TTTCATGGTTGAATTTGGCCTTTTTAGCCTTTTTTTAATGGTTTGGTTGGATCAGGGGTTTGTTTGTGGGTTAGGGGCTAGTGGCAAGGCGTTTAGGTTGGTAGTGGTTCGTTGGTGGTGGTTGTTGGTGGTATTTTTTTGTTGGTGGTGGGTAAGGGGTTACTAGATCCGGTCAGAGGTTACTAGGTGGTCCGGTTAGGGGTTACTAGGTCGGCGGTCAGGGGTTACTAAGTTGGGGGTTACTAGGTCGGTTCGGGGTTACTTCGGATTACTAGGACGACAGACAGGGGTTACTAGGTCGGTTAGGTGTTATGATCAGTCTATTTTATATATATTTTATTCACCGTCCCATGGTCATATTTGTACTTATTTGAGCTCTACGGAGCTATTTTTATTACTAATATACGTTTTCTAGTGTTTTGTAGAGTTGGTATTATTTTTGTAGGAATTTGCAGATTAATGTCAATTCCCGAGCTTATTGAGCCACTACAAAGTCATTAGAGTTTGATCGTATTTATGACCGTTCATATGAAACCCAAAACCGAGTTAAAGGAATTTAATCCGGTGATTAGGCTCGATATATAAAGAGGTCTAAAATTTTCCACACAAATTACGGACCAAACAGGAGAAGAAATGGGCAACAAAAGAAGCCACAAAGCTCAACTCACAGCACTAGTTGACCGGGCCCGATTAGACGAGCTAGCCCAGTTGTCCGGACATCTTCAGCATCAATCACTTAGTGGGCCTGTAAATTATTGGGCTTGCTTACTCGGTTTTCACTGACCAGAGGAGTAGTAGCTTTAGTTTGTTAGACGGTGATTAATTTGTTAGATTAGGATTTCTAAGATATTCTAGTTTTCTTGTCAGACTTTTGGTAGGAATCCTAGGATTTATTTTTGGTTAGTTATCTTTTAGTTAGGATTAGTTTTTCCTAAGCTTATAATTAAGATAAGATTCTTAAATCCTTATAAAAGGATGGAGTACGTAGCTTTAGAAGGTAGTTTTTACTTTTTAGTTTTCTTTTTCTTTAGTTTAGTTTAGTTTTCTTTTCATATCAAGATTTTATTATTTTGTTTCCTTATTAATTTTATACTATAATTCTCTTTATATTAATTATGTGTGAGTTGTTTCCTTTTTAGGGTTTGTGGGGATCCATAATTAATATGAAGGGATAATTTGTTATTATTGATTATTGGTATTGCATGATAATTTCTTATTGAAATGTTAGATTATGAATCGAGCAGATGTAATTTGATTGTGAATGTTTAGTAATATTGAATTGATGAATCGAGCGGATGTTAATTTAATATTAAAGGCTATTTTTAATAGGAACTTAGATCTAGTAAATTGCGAGAGCCTGTTAGATTTATGTTGATTAATAAATTACGAGAGCCTGTTAATCAAGTTATTTTGTGCAATGTTGATTACTAATTATTATGTTTTATCCCGGAATATTAATTATTGGTGAACCTGTGACCCTAAACCTTCTTATTATTGTTTTCCTCCCTAAACTTATTCTTCGTAGTATAGAATTTATTCCCAAAAATATTGGTTACTTAGATAATTTAGATTATAATAATTAATTAGGAGTAAAAAGACTTGTTTCCCTGTGGAGTTCGACCCTACTTCCCTATCTACTTTAGTTAGAGGACTTAGGTATTTACTTTTGATTAGGGGATACGACTTTACCATGTCAGGTTACTTGGGATTATTAGGGGGTTATTAGGTCAAGGGTTACTAGGTCGGTTAGGGGTTACTTGGGGTTACTAGGTCGGGGGTTACTAGGTCGGTTAGGGGTTACTAGGTCGGAGGTTACTAGGTCGGGGGTTACTGGGTTGGTTAGGGGTTACTGGGTCGGTTAGGGGTTACTAGGTCGGGGGTTACTAGGTCGGTTAGGGGTTACTTGGGGTTACTAGGTCGAGGGTTACCAGGTCGGTTAGGGGTTACTTGGGGTTACTAGGTCAGTCAGGGGTTACTTGGTCAAGGGTTACTAAGTCAGTAAGGGGTTATTTTTGTCTTGGGGTTACTTTTTCTGGGGGTTACTTTGTCATTTGCTGATTTGGCAACCTGCCGCATGGTGCGGCCAGCCGCACCAGAAACCCACTGATAAATATAAGTATTAAACGCTAAAAATGAACCTAACTAAAATAAGCATTATAATTTGTATTATATTTTAACAATTACATACATAAGTGGGTACCCGGAACCGGTACTCGATGGTTCCAATACCAGTTCCTAAATTTTAGGACCCGGTTGAACCAATACCAATTCCAGATCCGAATTTTAGGACCGGTTCCAACCAATTCCAAGTCCGGATCCTAAAATTTTGACCGGGTACCCGGTTTGCTCACCCCTACCCTCTTCTCATTCTCTCTCCTCTCCATCTCCTCAGTTTCTTTCTCTCTGATCTCCGCCTCCCCCCTTCGGTCTCTCTCATCTTCGCCTCCCTCCTCCCTTCTCATTCTCTCTCCTTGGTTTTTGAAGTCCAGCGCCATCCATCCCCAGGGCTTTTGATCGGATTCGACCACTATCAATTAATGATTTTTTAGGTCGAATTCGACCATGAAAACTCCAGACCTGGGGTTTTCATGGTCGAATTTAACCATATAAACCAAACATTGAAGATTTCATAAGGTACGTTGAGGATTTTTTTTTTTTTTTTTTTTTTAATTTTTTGGGTAGTGACGGTGCTAATGGTGCGTGTGGTGGGTGTGGCTATGCGCGTGTGATGGTGCTGGTGGTGGTTCGTGTGGTGCTGGTGGTGGTGCGTGGCTTAGGCTGGGTTTGTGGTGGCTGTAGAGTGTAGGCTTAGGCGGGTTTAGGGTTAGGGTGGAGATTTTTTTTTTTTTTTTTTTTTTAAAAAAAAAAAAATTATTTGGGTAGTGTTGCTGGTGGTATGATTTTGGCGAAAAATGACTTTTTAATTATGATTTGTGGTGGCTTGCAAAATTGGCGAAAAAATGGTATGATTTTGCCCAATTTGTTGAATAGTTTGGGTTGAATTCATGATTTTGTGATAAATTAAGGGTTTTGATTTGTATGATCGATTGATTAGTGGAGTTTGTTGAATTTTTATGGTGCTGGTGGTGCGTGTGGTGGGTGTGGCTGGTAGGTGGGGGAAAGGGAGTAGGTGTGGTCGCCGTCGCCGGCGGCTTCCGACATGAGTAAGGGGAGGGCGGCTGGGCTTTTTTAAGGGTGGCTTGTTTTTTATTATTAATTTTTAAACAAATAATTAAAAGATTCATATTTTAATAAATTCTCAAGAAAAAAACAAAACAAAAATAAAAAAAAAAACGAGTCATGGTCCTTCAACTTTTACTGACTAGACTAGGTCCCTAAACTTTTGACTGACAAACACCAAAGAAGGTGGTTGAGAGACTAAAAGGGCACAAAATAGTTTAGAGGGACTAAAACGACACAAATACGATAGTTTAGGGACCGTATTTAATCTTTCCTCGAATTTTTCCCGTTCCTCTGTTTTTGAAGTACAAGTATTTAAACAAATCAATTCATGTTTACTTTTGGCGCAACAATACTCACCATTCCAATTCACCATTTCAATGCTAGACATTTAAAGAAGCTGTTGTAGTTAATCTGTATTCATCATCCTTCATCAACAATTATCCATTCGATATCTGCTACCTGCATTTCAGACATCTGCTTCTACAATCTACACTCGTTTAATTCAGTGGATTCTTTCCAATTCCAATTTGAAGAATTTCCGCTAAATTTTGATTTTCATCATTTATGTGTCTTCAATTTGAGTAATTTAGCTTTTATTTCACTGAATCTGTCACATATTCACAGTATTTTGAGCAATTTTCTTGTTTAATCGAGTGTTTGCATCTCGGATTAGTGAATTGATCATAAATGCTATTTTTTTCTTTTTATTTATTTATTTATTTTTTTAGAAGAAGATCATAAGTGTACTACTCTTGAGAAGTTGAGATTTTTTAGTTAATTATCTATTTTTTTTTACTTAGGGTTATAAAAATGAGAGAAATTGTCATTTTGGGCATGAATTTTGTTTATTTTGGCTTTAATTTGAAGTACTCATATTAAAATGATTATTGCTAATTTTCTCATATTTGTGAGGGTTTTAAACTGTAATTCTTAAGAGCACAATGTGTTTTGATTTTGAGCCTGAGTGTGAATCTTGTCTCTTGGAAAGTTAACATGATACTTGATAAACTTGATCATACAGGTGCCAATTGTCAAGTCGGATATTTTACGAATTTGGTTCAAAATGAAGTGTCGAGTGTCTACACCTAAATTGAGGTATTGGCATTGGTAATTGAGGGGAAGATAATGAAGATTCCAAGTATCAACGACGTCGTCTCTACTTCGGGGCATTTGGAACAATCATAAAATGTGTATGCTTCTTCTGTCCTATAAGTTTGTTTACAGTTCCTACTTCTTGATGAGTGAATTTAAACTCTAGCTGTAACTCTATACCAATTTAACATCTTAAGAACTTAAGGAAGTGCTTGAGGTTTGAAATTAGATTAAAATCCTTTGGAAGTAGTATAACTTCACCTACTGGCTACTCTGAAATCCGATTTTGAAGTTTTTTCTGTGTTTTTATATGCTTGTGGTATTCTAATCTGTTTGTTATCTTATTATACTTATTTTTGTTGCTTGATGTCAAAAAACATGTTAAAAACCCGTATCTTTTATACCCCTTTGTTTAGATTTATTCTTGTATTTCTATTGTACTTATGTTTTAAGGCCATAACTTATAAAGCTTTTTACTTGACTGTAACGATAAATTTTAAGGCAGAGATAAGGAAACATTTCGTTTTGCTATTGTTCATCTCTCTGAAATAAGTTAATTTGAAGGTTAGTTAATTTTGTGACAATGAAGTGGAATCATCAGACTTCAGTAAGCTTGCTTATAAAGTAATAGAGTTCAGTAGATTGAAAACCATTTATCCCTCCTAGTGAACTTTGATTTAAACTAATACTGCTTTCTGTTTGTGAGAATTCAATTTCACTTGATGTATCCTCTACTTGAGCTATTTCATTTCTTGTTAACTTTTCTTAGTGAGATAATTCCATTGGTATTGTTGTGAATCTTGTGATCTAGAACAAGATGACTACAATTTTGTTTCATTACATGCTTAGAAGCAGTGTTGAACATGCTTTTTATTACACAAAATTAACAATGTTGAATGCAGACAAAAATACAGTACATTAACTGTGTGAAAATGTCAAAATAGCACTACACAACTTGGGATATTGAGCCTTCTGGATTCAAAGAAAATTGAGATTCTCGTGAAATGGTCGCAGGTCATCATCTTGTGACGTGCATAATGAAAGAATCCATTTCTACACTAGAGGTACCACCTTCAGCAACTGATGTTCGGACAGCATCACCCAGTTCTGCAGCCCTTTTTTGCATCTCCTTTCCTTCCTCTGATGCCATCAATCTTCTCAATGCATTCTCTATAGTAGCTGAGGTCACTAGGTCAGCACGGTGAGCCCAATCCCTCACCAGTGTACCAATTCTTAGCACTTCTGTCACCAAAGTGGCATTCCTGGGTTGATCGGAATGCATGGGCCAAGCTGCCATTGGCACACCCATGCTGATGCTCTCCATGCATGAGTTCCACCCGCAGTGACTCATGAAACCACCTATGGATGGATGTGCTAGAATTTGCAGTTGGGGTGCCCAGTCTCTTACCACCATTCCCTTATTTTTCAGTCTCTCTTCATACCCTTCGGGTAGCAGAGGATTTCTCAAATCACTTTTGGAATATACATCAGCTTTATCGGCTCTTCTAAGTACCCATATGAACTTTTGTCCACTTCTTTCCAAACCCAGCGCCAACTCCATGATTTGCTCATCAGTCATTGAGGTTGTTGATCCAAAAGAGACATATATCACCGAACTTGCCTCTTGTTCGTTAAGCCATTGTAAGCATATATGTCTATCATTTTTGCTTTCCATTTCCACTGGATTCAAAGGTCCAACAGCAAAGTACTTCATCTCAGGATTTATTGAAAGGTTCTCCAATAGTTGGACATATCTACCTTCTATCAGCCTTGATGTGTTGCAAAGTGTTCCAGCCTCAAACCCCAAAAGTTGATGTTGTTTGACCAAGAAGTTGATAACCTTTGTCGTCAAGCACCCTTCATTTGAAGGAATGCATTTTGGGACATCAAAATCTAGCTGAAAAGGTTTTTTAGGTAATATTTCCCACACATTTAAGAACTTGGTAAAGGCAGAGGTGGGATGGAAGGCATATGATTCAGCATTTGGGATGCCTCTTACATCTTGAATCACGGAAGTCATTAGATTATCAAAAATGATGATGATTCTCCTTAACTTTGTAGAGAGTTCTTGTAAGAGTTGGGAAATGGGCTGACGGAGATGCGTAGAAGCATCAAATAGTGGTTCAAGGTTTGTAGGGAAAAAGGTGGAGGGGTTGGGATTGGGAGGGGACAAGCTATGAGGAGGGATTTTGAAGTCATGGAAATGGATTTTACTTGAAGTTTCAGAGTCCCAACCATGGAGTCGGAGCTTCGCTTGGTGGTTGTGGCTGGCAGATCCAGCATAATGAACTGGTAATCCATAGGAGGTTATGAGATGAGAGAGATGGAGGAGCTGGTTCAAAAGGCCTTGGGCTGGAAAGGGTACCATCACCACAGCCACTTGATGGTGTTGTACTTCATTTTGCTTGCCTACTTTACTGCAATTTTGGTCTTCCATTAGGGGTTAAGTTTTGAGGTTGAGTATAGGAAGAATTATGATTTTATACTACTCATGATAGATACAAAAAACCTTTATTAAATTATGGTTACTTGTCATACGCTCAGTTTTGTTTAATATTAATTAGCGGCAAATTGTTGCTCCCTCTTAGCTATTGTCAATAAAAGAAAAATAAAAAAAATACTTACTGTTGCCTCAATTCTTACCTCATTGATGTTGTCATGGCCCCTTGGAGTTAGACGGATTTTATGATTAGATTTTATAACATTTATAGGCTGATATGTGTTTTTCTATGTTTGCAGGTTGAAGTTGTCGTACACTTCTCATTATTTTTTTAAGTGTCAATCTTTGTATCTATGTTTAGTGCCATAGTATGCATACATTACCAAAGGGCATTAGTTAAGGGGTCATTCTGCTTCTGGCACATCTAAAGCTGTAGTTTATCGAGTTATTCAAGTATTTAGTTTCGTTTAAATAGGGTTTACTTGAATTTTTTATTTGTGACACTTTTTTTTTTATTTGAAGTTAAATTTATAAGTTCGAAAGTTTGTAACTATTATTGGAACCTGCTTTCTGTTAGGAAGAACCCCTTAAGTCAAGCCGTCAAGGTTGCTTGATTGATATATTCTCAATTAACCTGGTGTGAGCCTTTTACCACCTTTTTTTGATTTTTCTGAGTCTAGTCATGATCTAGAGGCAGGTGACTATGCTTATAAGGTTTATTACATGGAGATTACAACTCCAAACACAAAGCAGATCACAATAGTAGATTAGTAGGATTAAGGAACCATAGAGAAGCTAGACGTTTACTTATTAAGTTATTATGGACAACAGATCCATGTGAGTATGGACTAACAGAGTAACAGTTATATGTAAATGGCGAATTTGTGAAATTAGCATAAGAAAGAGCATAAATTGGACTAACATCAATCCAGGTATAGGTCAACTAAACGGTATTCCTGTAGCAATTGGTGTTATGGATTTTCAGTTTATGGGAGGCAGTATGGGATCCGTAGTAGGGGAAAAGATCACCCGATTGATTGAGTATGCTGCCAATAAATTAATCCCCCTTATTATAGTATGTGCTTCCGGGGGGGCACGCATGCAAGAAGGAAGCTTGAGCTTAATGCAAATGGCGAAAATCTCGTCTGTTTTATATGATTATCAATCAAATAAAAAGTTATTTTATGTATCAATCCTTACATCTCCTACTACTGGTGGGGTGACCGCCAGCTTTGGTATGTTGGGGGATATCATTATTGCTGAGCCTCTTATTCATTCTCATTCAATCACGGCGGGGGGCAAGTCAACATAGAAAAACTCACATTGGGTTTAGGGATAATCAGGCTCGAACTGATGACTTCCACCACGTCAAGGTGACACTCTACCGCTGAGTTATATCCCTGCCCTGCCCCCATCGAGAAATAGAACTGACTAATCCTAAGGCAAAGGGTCGCGAAACTCAACGCCACTATTCTACTATTCTTGTCTTGAACAACTTGGAGCCGGGACTTCTTTTCGCACTATTACGGATACGAAAATAATGGGGAAATTTGGATTCAATTGTCAACTGCTCCTATCGGAAATCGCATTGACTACGGATTTGAGCCATAGCACATGCTTTCATAAAAGCGTACGATTTTCCCGATCTAAATCAAGCAGGTTTTACATGAATAAGATTTGGCTCGGCTTTTATTCTTGTCCTGTGTTACTCTGACATATTTTTTATTATCTGGTCACATGAGAAATGAATGAATCCAATTCTAATTTCTAAGCGAGAAGTGCCTCCTTTGATAATTGATGCTCGGATAGCTTCACCTAGCTCTGCTTCCCTTTTCTGCATTCTCTCCATTATATTGATTTTTTTTGGCAACCCTACACTGTCTGCTGATATGTGAGTTATCTAGGGTAGGTTGAAGTTGTCTTATGCTTCTCTAATCATTGTAGAAAAGTGCCAATCCTTATATCCTGTACTTATTATCGTAGTAATTCATAGATGATCAAAAGGCATTTGCTGAGGGCCATTCTTCTTCCTGCACGTCTAAGCTGTTCCTGTTTCAAGAAGTATGTTCTGTACTTCTGTTTAAATTAGATTTAGTTATTATTTTTTTTATTTGCAACATATAAGCATGATTAAATAAAATAAAAAATGGATCTTCTCATTTTCCTTTTCTTTTTATTTATTTATTTAATATTTATACTCTTTATGTTTACTAATTTATACCCCCTAATGTTTGCCCCAATTTCCTTTTTAGTCCGTCCCTTTAAATTTGCCCAATTCCATAAATGCTATATAGGACCACTACTTTACTCTTAACACCAACTACTTTTGGTCCCACCATTTTTTTTTTCTCTCATCAACTCTTTCCAACAAAATCTTAAAAAAGCAACTTCATCTATAATTCTATATGGGGCAAAAACAAGGGACGGAGGGAGTATTGTGCTTCCTTAATGCTTTCGTGTGCTCTAACTAGTAAGGTTTTACATGTTCAAAGGGAATTAGGACATTGCCAAGGAATGCTATACTATGCCACAAAAGTCAAGAAAAGGGTAAGGTCAGAAATGGGAACTAAACTGTAGAGTTCAGTAATTGTGGATAAACTTTACATCTTGGTCTACAGAATCATATACATTGTTATTAATGGCAATTATTTTCTGATACATAGGCGAGAGGTGCTGCAAGAGCTGATAAACAGGCTTGCAAATTATGTATGGAAGGGATTGGAAGCTCTGAAAAATGGATAAAAGTTCTCAGAGAAAAGAGAAATAGCTGATTAGTATCATTAATGGTGAGTCAATAGTATTTTGAGCACAATTGTGATTATTGAAATAACAACCATTGGAAAACTTAATAATGTTTGCATACTATGATAATCTGAACGCATCAGTCTTTCAAATAAATAAATAAATAAATAAATAAACTGATGAAAATAATTTGATAATAGAGAAGCAGAACATGTGACTGTGAAAATAGTTTAAGACACCACACAACTGGATGTTGACCCTTCTAGACCCAAAGCAACTGAGATTCTTGGTGAAAGGGCCACTTTTTAAGAGAGATATCTGCATATCATCACCTGGTGATATGACTAATGAAAGAATCCATTTCTACCCGAGAAGCACCACCCTCAGCAACTGATGCTCGGACAGCTTCACCCAATTCTGCAGCCTTTTTTCGCATCTCCTTTCCTTCCTATGATGTCATCAATCTGTTCAATGCATCCTCTATAGTAGCTGACGTTACTAGGTCAGCATGGTGAGTCCAATCCCTCACCAGTGTACCAATTTTTAGCACTTCTGTCACTAAAGTGGCATTCCCGGGTTGATCAGAATGCATGGGCCAAGCTGTCATTGGCACACCCATGCTGATGCTCTCCATGCATGAGTTCCACCCACAGTGACTCATGAAACCACCTATTGATGGATGTGCTAGAATTTGCATTTGGGGTGCCCAGTCTCTTACCACCATACCCCTATTTTGCAGTCTCTCTTCATACCCTTCCGGTAGCAAAGGAGTTTTTACTTCATTGCTGGAAAATACATCAGTTGTATCAGCTCTTCTAAGTACCCATATAAACTTTTTTCCACTTCTTTCCAATCCTATTGCCAACTCCGTGATTTGCTCATCAGTCATCGAGGTTGTTGATCCAAAAGAGACGTATATTCCTGAACCTGCCTTTTGTTTGTTTAGCCATTGTAGGCATATATGGCTATCATTTTCACCTTCCTTTTCAAAGGTCCAACAGAAAAGTGCTTTGTTTCAGGGTTTATTGATAGCATCTCCAATAGTTGAACAAATCTACCTTCTATCAGCCTTGATGTGTTGTATAGTATTCCTGCCTCAAACCCCAAAAGTTGTTGGCTGACTATGAAATTAAAAACCTTTGGTGTCAAGCACCCTTCATTTGAGGGAATGCATTCTGGGACATCAAAATCTAGCTGAAAAGGCTTTTCAGGTATTTCTTCCCAGATATTTAGGAACATGATAAAGGCAGAGACAGGAAAGAAGACATCTTGGATTTTACATCTTGGATCACTGAAGTCATTAGACTATCAAAAATGATGATGATTTTCTTGAACTTTGTGGAGAGTTCTTGTAAGAGTTGGGAAACGGGTTGACGTAGATGTGTAGAAGCATCGAATAGTGGTTCAAGGTTAGTGGGGAAAAGGATAGAGGGGTCGGGATTAGGAGGGGGTGAACTATGAAGAGGGAGATGGAAGTCATGGAAGTGGATCTTACTTAAAGTTTCAGAGTCCCGACCATGGAGTCAGAGCTTCACTTGGTGGTTGTGGCTGGCAGATCCAGCATAATGAACTGGTAATCCGTAGGAGGTTACAGGTGAGAGAGATGGAGGAGCTGGTTCAAATGGCCTTGGGCTGGAAATGGTACCATCACCACAGCCACTTGAGGGTGTTTTACTTCATCTTGGTTGCCTATTTTACTGCAATTTTGGTCTTCCATTTGGGGTCAAGTTTTGGGGTAGAATATAGGAAGAATTGTGATTTTTATACTACTCTTGATAAATAGAAAAAAACTCTATTAAATTATGGTTACTTGTCGTACACACAAAGCAAAATTTGTTTAATGTTATTTTAGGAGGAGCTTATGTTGCCTCAGTTCTTACATCAGTGGCTGCGTCATGGCCCCTATCAGTAAGATTCATGTTAAGATTGGATTTTATAACATTTTATTTGTGACATTGTCTGCTGATATGTGGTTTTTCTACGTTTGCAGACTGAAGTTTTCTATTTTTAAAATGTTGTAATCTTTTTATTCATGTTAAGTCATACATGACAAAAAGGGGTATTAGCTGCGGGCCATTTTGCTTCTTGTACATCTAAGTTGAAATTTGTTCAAGCAGTATGTTGTTGTTGTTTTATTTATTTATTTTTTTTTAATAGGGTGTACTTATTTTTTTAAGTATTCGTAAACCATTTTTTTTTTTTTTTTTTTTTTTTTTTTTTTTTGGATCTATAAATTCTTCTCGTTTAGTTTTTGAAAAAAGTTTAATTTTGTAAGTTTGAAGTTTGAAACTCTTTTTACTACCTGCTTCTGTTTGTAAGAACTCTTAATACAAGTGTGCTTTCTGATTATTCTTAGAGTATAGTCGTGATCTAGAGGCAGGTGATTATGCTTATAAGTTTTAGTAGGAATTTACAATGCCAAACACAGAGATTACAGTAGTAGGATATAGACAAGCTTAGTGCCTGCTTATTATAAAGCACAGGTTCATGTGAGTTTTTTGAACAAGAGATTCACTAACAGTAATGTTTAAATGGTAAGTTTCTGTAACTAAGATAAGATAGAGCATAATTTTGTTGAAGAGCCTTCTGGACTCGAGTCAATCTCTATTCCTTTGTTTGATAATTTTGGCCCTGCATTACACTAACAGATTTTTATTATCTGGTTACATGAGAAATAAAAGAATCCATTTCTAAGCTAAAAGTGCCTCCTTTGATAACTGATGCTCGAATAGCTTCACCTAGCTCTGCTGCCCTTTTCCGCATCTCCTCCCCATCTTCTGATGCCATCAATTTTCTTAAAGCATTCTCTACAGTAGTTGATGTCACCAGTTCAGTGTGGTGTGCCCAATCCCTCACTTGAGTACCCATTCTTAGAACCTCTGTCACCAAAACAGCATTCCTTGGTTGGTCGGAATGCATAGGCCATGCTGCCATTGGCACTCCCATGCTGATGCTCTCCATGCATGAGTTCCACCCACAGTGACTCATGAACCCACCTATAGATGGATGTGCTAGTATCTGTAATTGGGGTGCCCAGTCTCTTACCACAATTCCATTTTGTTTCATTCT